CTGGTGGTTTGGAGGGGAGAGATCAGAAGATCTGATGGGTCAGACTGATACACCAGCCCATTTGTGAGTCCTGTGTAGGACATGTAACCACCAAACAATGCTGACCACCACATGCCAGTCCATGCAAAAGCTATGGCTGGGGGCCTGTCTGGCAGGGCTGGATCCTAGTATCTGACAGAATGTCAGATCAGGGGACAGATCACATTAGGCAGGGCCATCTGGGGGTAGATTCTGTGGTAGATGTGAGGACCCAACCTTGTGAAAATACAAGTCCCTCTGGTTAGCTCAAGTGTTGGGGTAGTGATGGGCTGAGCTAAGTGTGATCATGGAACCTGCCATCAGACATGGGTAAAGGGAACAACAATAGTCTGGGCAGGTCCAGGCTGCAGCACCCGCATGTGCATCCTTTTAGGATATGGGGCAGGCCAGGCCACAACGTTCATCAGCTCATACAAGGCAAAGATGGAAGGGCAGGCTAAGCCGGGCACTGGCCTAACACCTGCTGGCATCTATGAGATCTGGGTCTCATAGGATAGAGTGGGGGAACTTGGAAAACTCCCCTAATGGGTCATAACTCTCACTGATGATCACATGGTCCAGGCTGGGGGGCAAGCTGGGCAAAGTAGTTCCAACTGTTGGCTAAGGTGTTGGTTGATTATGGAAGGGGGTGGACCGGACAGGGCCGAGCAAACCTTAGGGTCAAGCGAGAACAGAAATCAGGCTGGAGCACAGATCATGCCAAGCTAGGCTCTTATACTGACTGGTTTGTATGAGCCAGGGATGCCAGGCTACAGCATCTAAGACAAAGGCCAAGACAGATGAGGGTCTATTCCAAGCTGAGTCAGAGCAACCACTGGCACATGCATTATCTATGTCTGGGAATAGGCCTGGTTGGGGATCTAAGGGGACACCCTGGCTGGGTTGGGGTTCCCACCAATGGGTGAGTGTGGGGGCTGGAGTGGGGGTTGCTATCTGGTCTGGATATGGCTGAAGTGTCCCTTGGCACAAGTGTGGACAGGTTGAGCACACCGAGTTGGGCTAGACTCCAGCACCAACTAGTGCTCTGGAGGACCAGGGTAAGTGTAGGAAAGGCTAGGCTAGGTCTCTGCCCCTACTGAGCCATGTGTGAGCTGTGTCTGGGTGTGGACCAGCCTTGGCTGGGCTGAAACATCCAACAGAAAGAACCGAAATGGGCTGAAGGTCAGTCAGGAAAGGCCACTGTTCTTGCTAGGACAGAAGGTGGAGTAAGTAGGGCTGGCCCATGCACCCACATGAGATCTGACATTGAAAAAGAATCTGATGGAGGAGCTGAGGAAACTCCTCTGTTGGGACACAGTCCCTGAAGGTGAGCACAAGAACCAAGAAAGGGAGCAGCTCAGACCAGGCCAGGGAATGGTAGTCACTGGCATACATTTGGCATAGGTCGGGGGCAGACCAGACTGAACCAGTTCACATCACCTGCTGGAGAATCCGAGCACCAGAATAGAGTGTGGGTCAGGTCGGGTTTGGCCATAACATATACCAGTACACATAAGGGCTGGGACTGGGTACCAGCTGAATCGGGCTAGGCTGGGTTCCCTCACCAGCATGAGCTGAAATTAGGGGTGGGTTGTGCCAGACCAGGCTACAGCACCCACTGGCAAATGCCGAGGAAAGGCAGGCCATGACAGACTGGGCTGCAGCACGCATGAGAGAACTGGGGGGCAGGGGGCAAAGCTGGTAAGGGGAATGTGGAGGGCTCCCCTGCTGGACTACTGGAGAGCATTAGATGTGATACAGACAGAACATACTGGGCAGGGCTACAACACCTATTGGCCTCATGTGAGCTAGATCAGAGAAAAGCCAGGCTGGGCTGACTGTCCCTATTGGTGCAAACATAAATCAGAGAGGGTGAGGGATGGTTGGGTTTTGCCGCAGCATCAGCTGGCAGAGGCTGGCACCGGGGGCTAATTTTGTCAAGTTAAACTGCAGAACTGCCTAGAAAGTACATGGTCCAGGAGTGGAAGTGGGCCCAGGAGGGAGATAGTGGGCTCCTCCCTCTTGGGTTACCACTTACACTGGAGAGCACGAAAACTAGGACAGGAGCAGACGTGGCTAGACAGAACAGCACCCAGAAGCATGTGTGCGGCCTGGATAATGGGGCTGGTTGAGTTGAACTAGGCTTCAATACCCATTGACGTGTAGGAGAGCTGAATGGGATGTGGGACAGACTGGACCAGTCTGCTGCACACACTGGCAAGCACAGGAACCAGGGGCAGGGGGAGGGCCTGGTGGGAGTTACTGCAGGTCACTCCTACTAGGCTGCAGCTCCCACTGGTTTATGTGAGGGCTGAGCGTGAAGTGGGCAGGATCAGGCTGGACTGCAATATCCATTGGTTTATGTGGAAGACAGGGCTGGAAAGAGAACTGACCCAGCAATTGCAACTACCAGCATGTGCGTAAGTTGATTGCGACGACAGACTGTGTTGGACCTTGTACTGGCACGCACATACAAGAATCAGGTCTGGGATCACCTCAGAAGAAGTTTCTTTGGGGATCCCTCCAATTGAGCTGCTGATCTCAGAACCCCAATCATGAAGAGAAGTGCAGGTTCTATGGTCTGACCATGGAGTGCATGTGTCAAAGCTGAGCCTCCTCAGAGTCTCAGATGGAGCAGTGGACAGCATATCCAGGTGCACATGGAGGATATGGCAGTCCACTGGAACCTGCAGAGGATGCCTGGTACCACAACAGAGAACAGAGGACAGAACAAATTGATCAACTACCCCAGTCAAGAGATCTTGTGGGCTGGGAAAGCAGTTGAGGGTGGCCCAAAGGTCTTTGGACTCTGTACCCACGTGGAAAACCTGGAAGAAGCTGTTGGCACTGGCTTCAGATCAGCTCATTTCCGGCTGTTGCAGTCACTTGGGGAGTGAACCAGTGGATGGAAGATCTTTCTTTGTCTCTCCTCTCTGTAGAACTGAGAATTTATTTTTTCCAATAAAAAAATAAATAAATCTTTTTAAAAATCTTCAAAAAAACCTAACTTAGGGCTGGCATTGTGATGTAAAGGCAGTTTCTCCCGTGAGTGCAGGCTCATATCTCAACGCTCCAGTTGTCATCCAGCTGTCCTGCTTTGTAATGCATCTGGGAAAGCAGCAGAGGACCACCCAAATCCTTGGGCCCTGCGCCCATGTGGGAGACCTGGAGGAAGCTCCTGACTTTGGCTTCAGCCTGCCCAGCCCCAGCTGTTGGGACCATCTGGGGAGTGAGCCAGCAGATGAAAGATCTAGCATTCTCTCTCTCTCTCTCTCTCAAATAAATCAATACATCTTAAAAGAGAAAAGAACAGAAGGCATGAATTTTTTAAGTTTCTCCACAAGGAACACAAGTCTCAAAAGAGAAATACTGCTGGAAAGGGCCTGGGCCCTGGGTGCGGGAGAACAATGCGCGGCCCACTTCTGGGAGCTCCTGTCTGGGTCAGACGTCATTGTTTATTCACTTAGTATTTATATCCTACTGTGTTCTGAAAAGGGATTAGAACCGGCTCACACTTAATTACCAGTAACTTGAATACGAAGGAGATGGTGAGGAATGCACAAAAAAGGAAAGTGAAGAAGAGGTTGATAGATTTCAGCCAGGCTCAAGTCTGGGAACCTTTAAGATGGAGATGGGCTAGGAGGGTGCTGAGAGGGACTGGGAAGGTGGGGGATGGGGCTGGCGTCCTGCCAGCCAGCCCCGCCTCTCCAACTGCCCCAGTGTGAGTCACCACTCAGGCAGACACGGTGCCAAGAAAGAAGGTTGGAGGACCTGGGGCCGCAAAAAGCTCCCCGCCTCCTGAGCCTCAGAGGTGTACCTGCTTTAAAAAAAAAAAAAAAAAAGACTGGAAGGATTAATAGGATTAATATGAAGATCAAATGAGATCACTCGTATCCAAATATTGATATTGTGCAAAAGTAAAGGTTATGGATGGATCACTTCCGGCCCCTGCCACAGGCCTGAATGAGTGAAGCAAGGGAAAAAGGGAAGACAGGAGAGCAGAGGATGGGTGGTGGCGTGCCACAGAGGAAGCTAACATGGGTATCCCATATCAAGCATCCGTTTGCATGCCAGCCGCTCCACTTGCAGCTCCCTGCCAAGGACCTGGAAACAAGAGGCAGTGGCAGTCAACTTGGGGACTGAACCTCTGGATGGAAGATGTCTCTCTCTCTTTCCCTCTCTCCCAAACCTGTCACTCTGCCTTTCCAATAATTAAATACTTTATTTATAAAATATTTTAGTTTTTTTAAAAGATGTTCTTATTTTTAATGGAAAGTCAGATATACAGAGAGGAGGAGAGACAGGAAGAATGATCTTCCATCCACTGGTTCATTCCCCAAGCAGCTGCAATGGCCAGAGCTGAGCTGATCCAAATCCAGGAGTTTCTTCTGAGTCTCTCATACGAATGCAGGGTCCCAAGGCTTTGGGCCGTCCTCGACTGCCTTCCCAGGCCACAGGCAGGGAGCTGGATGGGAAGTGGAGTAGCTGAGAGAACTGGCGCCCATATGGGATCCCAGTGCGTGCTAGCTCCGGGCCCCCAAATATTTTACTTCTATTTATTTATTGGAAAGTGAGACCAAGAGAGGGAGAAAAGGAGAGAGAGAGAGAGAGAGATTCCATGCCCTGGGTGACTCCCCAAATGGCAACAGCCAGCATTGGGTCAGGCCAAAGCCAGGAGCTTCATCTAGACCTCCCACGTGGGTGCAAGAGCGCAAGGAATTTGGCCATCCTTTGCTGCTTTCCCAGGAATATTAGCAGGGTGAAAAGCGAAGCAGCTGGGACTCCAAGTGGTGCTCACATGAGATGCCAGAGTTGCAGACAGCAGATTAGCACATTGAGCCCCAATAAATCAGCTTTAAAATAAAACAAGTGCAGAGCGCAGCGCACACAGTGCTTCCGACCCAGGGCAGAAACCTGATGCATCCGTCCTCCCCCACTATGAGAACTCAGCCCCGCATGGCCCCGCACAGCCCCGCACCTACCCTGTACTGCTGCACCTCCTCGTCTCGCTTCTGCCTCGCCAGCATGATCTGGTCCTCCAGGCTCCTGTTCTGCAGGTGCAGCTGCCGGGCCTCGGCCTGCAGGGGCCGCAGAGCCTCCTTCATCTCCTGGATTTCAGCCTGCGTTTGCCGTAGCGCCTTGGCCCCGGCTTCTTTCCTCTCCAGCAGCCGCAGCAGCTGTGGTTCGTACTCGTCCTCCAGGCCCTGGCGGCTCTCCGCCATCAGACTTTCAAACCGCGCAGAGAGCCGCCGGCTCTCCTGGAGGAAGTGCCCGTCGCTCTGGCTCGGGGGCGCTTCGAGCTGTTGCTGCAATTCCTCCTTCTGCTTTCGGTGGGTGTCCCGGAGCTGTGCCAGCTCCTCCGAGAGCTGGGCCGCCCGCGTAGTCAGCACCTGCTGACAGTCGGCAAAATGCGCCACGTCTTGCTGGCGGCATTCCAGCTGGTACTGATAGGCAACGCACTCCTTAGTCACCTTGAACAGCTTCTGCTTGACCAGCCGCACCTCCTCCCGGAGCCCGTCCCGCTGCAGCTCGGCCTGCGCGTGCAGCTTGTAGGCGGCTAAAATGTCCCCGTGCACCTGCTGCACCTCACGCAGGGCTGGTTCCCGGAGCAGCACCAGCTCGTGGATGAGCTGGTCCCTCTCCTCTTCCAGCTGGGCCACGGCCTGCACACACTCCTGGAAGCGCTGCTCCAACACCTCCAGCTCCTCCGCGCCCAGGTTCTGCGCCCCGCTGGGCTGCTGCGCGGCTGCCTCGCTCTGCTCGGAATTGGGCTCTCCCTCCACGGTGACCTCTGCTTCTGCCTCTGCTTCCTCGACAGCCTGAGATGGCCTCTCTCCGGACTCCATTGGCACCTCGGGCACCTCGGGCACCTCCGGCTCCTCCGGCTCCTCCGGCTCCTCCGGCTCCTCCGGCACCTCCGGCTCCTCCGGCACCTCCGGCAGCTGCACTTCATCGTTGGGCCTCAGAGTCTCCTCAGGCAGCGCGGTCTCTGCGCCCTCACGCTCTTCCCCATTTGGTGCCTCCTCAATGAACAGGGGTGCGGTTGGCCTCTCAGTGTCTTCCCCAAGGAGGGGTTCATCCCAGTCAACCGAGTCCCCCAGGTAGAGACTGTCTTCTAGGTTCACGGAACCTAGGTTCAGGGAGAGAGAAGCTTCTGGGTTCGAGGCCTCTATCTTGTTGAGGGATCCGGGAGTCTCCCCTGCTCCTGTTGTCCTACAAGAGAGAAGATTCCAAGTGAAAAGGGCAACCACCGGCTGGCACTGGTTATGGCAGCCAGAGGCCTGGCGCAAACCCAAGAGTGCACCCCGACATGCTGACAGCATCCCCATGGGTCACTGGCCTGCCTTCCAGGACAGGAACCTCCCCCACCACGCACACACTGGCAGTCGTGCCCCTGTGTGCCAGGTCCTGATAAGATTCTGCCGCTGAAGTAAAGCCTTCCTTGCAATGACCACCTGCTGGGCTCCGTGCTCCCTTCTAGACGCCCCCAGTCCTGACAGCATCACCAGGGAGCCAACCTCCAGGTACCAAGCTTATCCTCCAGGTGCTCCACACACGACACACTGTCCAATGCCTCCAGAAGTCTCCAGGTCATCACTGTCTCTTGGTGATGAGCAGTGAAAAGTGGTACCTTGGCAAAAACCTGGGGTGCTGTTTTCCACTGAGGCGCCCAGGGCTCCCCTGCAGGCTGCCTGGGAGTCCCATTGACTTTATTCTTATGAAAAAGAGAGAGAGAGGGAGAGACAGAGACATTTTCATCCTGGGTCCACTCCCTAAATGGCTGCAACAGCCAGGGCTGGGCCAAGCCAAGGTCACAAGCCAGGAACTCCATTCCAGTCTTCATGTAGGTGGCAGGGGACCAAGCACTTGAGCCTTCACGTGCTGCTGACTACCAGGTGAATTAACAAAAAAAACACCCTGGATTAGAAATAGAGGAAGAACTTCATCCCAGACACTCTGATATTGGATGCGGACACTACAATTGTGCCACAACACCGACCCCTCCCAACCCCATCTTATTCTTGACAAGTGCTAATTTTAGCTAAAATTCTTCAGGCCTTTTCACATCAAGTGCTGTTAAACCACATCTCTCACTCCTATGAAATGTTCTCTTGTTGGAAGCCAATGTGGGCCCGGCATGGTAGCCTAGTGGCTAAAGTCCTTGCCTTGCATGCACTGGGATCCCATTTGAGTGCCGATTCTAATCCTGGCAGCTCCGCTTCCCATCCAGCTCCCTGCTTGTGGCCCGGGAAAGCAGTCAAGGACGGCCCAAAGCCTTGGGACCCTGGACCCATGTGGGAGACCTGGAAGAGATTCCTGGCTCCTGGCTTCAGATCAACACAGAACCAGCCATTGCGTTCACTTGGGGAGTGAATCATCAGATGAAAGATCTTCTTCTCTGTCTCTCCTCTTCTCTGTATATCTGACTTTCCAATAAAAATAAATAAATATTTTAAAAATGTATGTATTTAAAACAATCTGTGCATTTATTGATTTGAAAGACAAAGTGAAAGACACAGTAGGAGAGAGCTTGCCTCTGCTGGTTCGTTCCCTAAATGGTCCCAACTTCTGAGCCGGGTCGGGCGGAAGCCAGTAGCTAGAAGTTCCCATGTGAGTGGCAGGGCCCTGTGCACTTGGGCTGTCTTCTGCAGTTTTAGCAGGCACACAGCAGGAAGCAGAGCAGCGGAGACTCAGGCTGGTGCTCCGACAAGGGAGGCCTGTGTCCTAAGTGATGGCTCAGCTCACTCCACACAATGCCAGCCCTGAATCGCATCTATGAAGGGCTCACCTTGTGCCAGACCCTATGGTAAATGCTTTACTAAGCCAATCCAAAGCCAGGAGCCAGGAGCTTCTTCTGGGTCCCCACAAGCGTGCAGGGTCCCAAGGTTTTGGGCTTTCTTTTTTTTTTTCTTAGATTTATTTTATTTTTATTGGAAAGGTGGATATACAGAGAGGAGAGACAGAGAGGAAGATCTTCCGTCCGATGATTCACTCCCCAAGTGAGCGCAGCGGCCGATACTATGCCGATCCGAAGCCAGGAGCCTCTTCCGGGTCTCCCACACGGGTGCAGGGTCCCAAAGCTTTGGGCTGTCCTCGACTGCTTTCCCAGGCCACAGGCAGGGAGCTGGAAGGGAAGTGGGGCTGCCGGGATTAGAACCGGCGCCCATATGGGATCCCGGGCGTGCAAGGTGAGGACCTTAACCACTGCGCCATCGCGCCAGGCCCGGAACACTATTGACTTCTCGTGTCAGCAAGCAGCCTATGATTGCATCTCATGATGACCTCGAAACCAATCCTGGGGGCCACTGGCACTTGCAAAACCCAGAATGGGTGTGGAACAGGCCAGATTAGGCTGCAGCACCTGCCAGGTTACATGAGAGCCGGATCTGAGGGTGGGCAAGTTTGGTTAGGCTGTACCACCCACTGGCGAGAGTCAGAATGGGTGCAGGCCAGTTAGACTAGCCTCAGTACCCTCTGGTAAGTGCCACGCCTGGGGGCCGGCTCTGTCAGACTGGGCTGCAGTACCTCTCAGTGCTCATAATACCCAGGGCTGGGAGAGAATTTCAGAATCCCCTGCTAGGAAGCTGCTTCTACTAGTGAGCAGGAGAGCTGAGACTAAGGGTGGTTTGGTCTGGGCAGGGCTACAGAACCCATCAGGTGGCATCTGGGCTGGTTTGGGGCAGGTTAGGCTGGGCTAGGCTGCTGCAACAGCTGGCAAGTGCTGGGACTAGACGTGAGCCATGGCAGGTGCAAGATTTGGGACTGGGAACAAGCCTGGTAAGGGAACTGTAGGCACTGCCCTATTCCTGCTGGTGAGCATGAGAACCAGGTCTGGGGGCAGGCCAGGTTGGACAGGACAGCAGTACCCATTGGCATATTGGAGGGCCAGGACTTGGGGTGGGTTGGGTTGAGCTAAGATGCAGCACCCATCAGTTCGTGTAAGAGATGGGCTGGAGCAGAGCTGACCAGGCAGCTGCATCCACCAGTATGTGTATTGGCTGGTGTAGATGTCAGATTGAACCTGACACTGCACTAGTTGGCTGGCACACATGGGTAAAGTCTGAGGTCACTCCAGGTGAGGTTTTCTAGGGGACTCTTCAACTAGATCACCGGACTCAAACCCTGGCCACAGGGAAAATCACAATATACGTGGTCCAACCTTGGATGGCATGGGCCTCCTGAGTTACTGATGCCTGTGAGGGGGACAGCATACCCAGATGCACACAGGAGACATGCCAATTAACTCATCTACACCTGCAGGGGATGTCAAGGAAAGCAAAACAGGTTGGATCACTCTCCTGGTCAAGCTTTGCCACATGTTCCTCGTGGGGCTGGAGATGCACTGAGATGGACTTGGCCAGCCAATAGACCTTGGAGAGATTTCCTCAACCCTGGTGCAATGAAGCCAACAACATCTCAGAACTATCAAAATCACTCCAGTAACACCCTTGGAACATTCTTCCCCATATCGGGGTCTCTAGGGTGTCATCATATGACTGTCCCCCATCCCCGGGGTGCTGATGTAGTTTGACAGCAAGGAAGAACCCCTTTTCCTTACCGAATCATTTGACCTACCCATTTTATTCCATCCTTTGATCCTTCCCACCCTAACAGAGGCCTAGCCCACATGGGTGTGCAGCCTTCTCAACAATGTAAAAAATATTAAAAGGAAAGTTAAAAATTAAAAACAGAGTCCGGGGCCCGGCGGTGTGGCCTAAGCAGCTAAAGTCCTCACCTTGAACACGCCAGGATCCCATATGGGAGCTGGTTCTAGTCCAGGCAGCTCCACTTCCCATCCAGCTCCTGCTTATGGCCTGGGAAAGCAGTCGAGGACAGACCAAAGCCTTGGGACCCTGCACCCATGTGGGAGACCTAGAAGAAGTTCCTGGCTCCTGACTCTGGATCGGCTAGTACCGGCGATCATGGTCACTTGGGGAGTGAATCATCAGATGGAAGATCTTCCTCTCTGTCTCTCCTCCTCTCTGTATATCTGACTCTCCAATAAAAATAAATAAATCTTAAAAAAAAAAAAAAACAAACCAGAGTCCAGCACAATAGCCTAGTGGCTAAAGTCCTCACCTTGACTTGAACATGCCAGGATCCCATATGGGCTCCAGTTCTAATCCCGGCAGCCCCACTTCCCATCCAGCTCCCTGATTGTGGCCCGGGAAAGCAGTCAAGGATGGTTCACAGCCTTGGGACCCTGCACCTGTATGAGAGACCCAAGAGAAGCTCTCGGCTCCTGGCTTCAGTTCAGCTTAGCTCCGGCTGTTGCGGTCACTTGGGGCGTGAACCATCAGACGAAAGATCTTCCTCTCTGTCTCTCCTTCTCTCTGTATATCTGACTTTCCAATAGGAAAAAGTTAAGGGTCAGAAATCTCGGAGGAATAAATGAAATGAGACAGCCGGGTAACCAGGTTTAGCCAGCTTAGAGTCCTGAGCCGGAAGCCACACCTCCTGATTGGAATTCTACCTGCCTAATCTATCAGTTAAATGACCCCTACCCCAGGAAGTTCTTCCCTGGGGGCAGTACTGTTTAATAGCTCCCCTTCCCAGGCACAGGCAGAAAAAATTTTCCCATGGGCCCAGCACGGTGGCGCAAGTGGTTAAGGTCCTCGCCTTGCACGCCCGTGATCCCATATAGGCGCCGGTTCTATCCCGGCAGCCCCACTTCCCTTCCAGCTCCCTGCCTGTGGCCCGGAAAGGCAGTCGGCCCAAAGCTTTGGGACCCTGCACCCGCGTGGGAGACCCGGAAGAGGCTCCTGGCTTCGGATCGGCATAGTATCGGCCCGTTGCGCTCACTTGGGGAGTGAATCATCGGACGGAAGATCTTCCCCTCTCTCTCTCCTCTCTGTATATCCGCCTTTCCAATAAAAAATAATAAAAATAAATCTTTAAAAAAAAAATTCTCCCGCCTTTCCCTTCCTGCCCACTCCATCCTACATATGGCCCGGGTGTGTCTGTGCTGTACTCACCTTTCAAATAAACTATAAATAACAATCAAAAAGGAATTAAGTTGCTCAAGGTATTCAGACATTCAGGGTGCATCACTTATAAAAGAGACTAAACATGAGTGTAGCAGGGTCTTCGTTTACTTTAAGGATTTATTTTTTATTGGAAAGAGAGGGAAGGCAGAGTGAGGGAGAGAGAGGGAGAGAATCTTGCTTCTGCAGGTTCACTCTCCAGATAGCCACAGCAGCCGGGGTAGACCAGGCTGAAGCCAGGAGCCACGAACACCTTCTGGGTTTCTCATGTGGGCTCAGAGGTCCAAGCACTCAGGCCACATTCCTCTGTTTTTTCTTTTCTTTTTATTTATTTATTTTTATTGGAAAGTCAGATATACAGAGAGGAGGAGAGACAGAAAGATCTTCTATCTGCTGATTCACTCCCCAAGTGACCATGATGGCCAGAGCTGAACTGATCTGAAGCCAGGAGCAAGAAGTTTCTTCCAGGTCTCCCACGTGGTACAAGGTCCCAAAGCTTTGAGTTGTCCTCAACTGCTTTGGGATATGAAAAAGCACCCATATGGGATCCTGGCATATGCAAGGCTAGGACTTTAGCCACTAGGCTACCATGTCAGACCCTCCTCTGCTTTTTCTTAGGCCCTTAGCAGAGACCTGAATTAGAAATGGAGCAGGCTGGGTCTGGTGTGATGGCTCAATGACTAAATCCTCACCTTGGGCCTGGCGGCGAGGCCTAGCAGCTAAAGTTCTCGCCTTGAACATCCCGGGATCCCATATGGGCGCTGGTTCTAATCCCGGCAGCTCCACTTCCCATCCAGCTCCCTGCTTATGGCCTGGGAAAGCAGTTGAGAATGGCCCAAAGCCTTGGGAGCCTGCACCCATGGGATACCTGGAAGAAGTTCCTGGCTCCTGGCTTCGGATCGGCATAGCATCGGCCGTTGTGCTCACTTGGGGAGTGAATCATCAGACGGAGGGTCTTCCTCTCTGTCTCTCCTCCTCTCTGTATATCTGACTTTCCAAGAAATAAATATATCTTAAAAAAAAAAAAAATCCTCACCTTGCAAGTGCCAGGATCCTCAATGTGCACCTGTTCCTGTTCCCAACGTTTGCCTTCCCATCTAGCTCTCTGCTTGTGGCCTAGGAAAGCAACAGAGGATGGACCAAGGCCTTGGGCCCCTGCACCTGGGTGGGAGACCTGGAAAAATCTATTGGTTTTGGATTGACTCAGCTCTGGCCACTGTGGCCATCTGGGGAGGGAAACTGTAGATGGAAGATCTTTGTCTCCCCTTTCCATAAATCTGATCTGCCTTTCCAATAAAAATGCACTTTTTAAAAGAAAGAAAAAAGAAGGAAGAATGAAGGAAGGAAGGAAGGAAGAAGGGGCAAGGAGGAAGGAAGGGAGGGAACAATCAGGATTTGGACTGGCGCCCCAATGGGATGGCAGTGCGGCATACAGAGACTTAACCAAGCATGGTGCCAGCCTCTAGCATGGTTTTCAAGAAACATTTTCATCCTTCCGGTATCCGTGTGGCACTGGCTCCTGTGTGGGTGCCAGAAGCTACAGGTGCTTCCATCCTTACTGAATTATACGTTCCACACTTTGGCCCAGACCTGCCCATTAAGGGCATTTGACAAGTGAACCAACAGACTAGAACATTCTCTATCTTCTCAGCTTTTCCAATTGAAGAGAGTGTTAGGGGCCAGTGCAGTGGCGTAGCCAGCTGAGCCTCTGCCTACAGTGCCAACATCTCATGTGGGTGCTGGTTCAAGTCCTGACTTCTGACCCAACTTCCTGCTGATGTGTCTGAGATAGCAACAGAAGATTACCCAAGTACTCGAGTTCCTGCTACCTATGTGGGACACCCTGAGAAAGCTCGCGGCTCCTGGCTTCAGACCAGCACAGCTCTGGCCCTTGTAGCTATTTGGAGAGTAAACCACCAGATGGACGACCACTCTGCCTCTCCTTTTCTGTAAATTTTGCCTTTTAAATAAAAATAAATATTAAAGACAAACAAAAGGGGGTCATCACCACGAGCTCCAGGGCTGCCAGGCTCTGTTCTCTCTGCCGCCCCAGCCGCTGCCAGGATCTGCAATCTGCAGCTCGAGGAAACAAGCGCCAAGCTCCCCAGATGAGGCCAGAAAGCCCTCAGCGGCTCCTCCCCTCTCCTATAGCGCCAACGCACTGAGAACAGAACTGCTCTCAAAACGCCTCCAGGCTCCATGCCGGCCTTCTCCAGGGCACTGCCAGGGCCCTCGTCCAAGCCATCAGCTCTCCCTGGCACTCTCGTACCAGCCCACGAATGAGACACTTTGTTTCTTTTCCTGGTCCATTTCTCTCTGCAGTGCCCCCAGTGGCTTGTTGCGGCATAAAGCAAATCATGGGGTTCCACTTGCCGCCTCCCTCGGATGTGTGACTCCAGCCCATTTTCCCTAACCTCAGCCTGTGTGTTACTCCTGGAGCCCACCCAAGGCTTGCTACCGCAGTACACCTGCTAGCTTCTTCTTTTAAGATTCAGTTCAACTTACTTGAAATTCAGAGTTACAAGGTATGGGAGGAGACATAGAGAGATCTCCATTCACTGGTTGAGTCCCCAAATGGCTGCAATGGCCATAGATGGCCAGGAGCTGCCAAAGCTGGGAGCCAGGAGCTTTTTCCAGGTCTTCCATCATGTGGGTGCAGCATCCTAAGGCCTTGGGCCATCCTCTGAGGTTTTCCCAGGCCATTAACAGGGAGTTGAATGGGAAGTGGAGCACCTGGAACATGAACCAGAGCTCACATGGGATGTAGAGCCACAGAGGGTTAGCTTGCCATGGCACTGTGGCAGACTCATCTGCTCGCATTTTACACCTGCAACTCTTGAGTTCTGTGTCTCAATGCTCCAGCCACTGGAGCACCACTTGGCTGGAAAACAGCCCTGCGCTGGCCAAGAAGGTGAAGCTCCCTGCATCAGACCCTCACCCCACACCCCACACTCCCTGGGGTCCTGTTCCAGCCCAGGCCCCCACCTGGGCACTGCTCCAAGCACTTCACAGGATTCTCACTTAGAAAAGACTCCTCTCCCTCTTTCTCTGGCGTTCTTCATTTAATTGAAACGTAGAGTGACAGAAATTGGGAGAAACAGAAACTTCATCCTCTGGTTCACTTCCCCAAATGACCAACATCAGCAGGTCAAAGCCAGGAATTCCACCTGGACCTCCTACATGGAGAGATCCAACAGACGGGCCCCTCTTTTGCTGCCTTCTCAGGTACATTAGCAGGGAAAGCAACAGGAGCTGAGCCAAGTGTTTGGGCACCTGTCATACATGTGGGAGACCCGGATACAATTCTAGGTTCCTCACAGAGGACATGACGGCCAGCTCATCTACGCCAGCAAAGGACGTCAAGTTTCTCATCAGAGGACGGACAGTAGAACAGGTTGGATCGTTATCCTGGCCAAGCTTTGCAATGTGGACGCACTGGATGGACGTTGTCAGCCAACACACCTTGGAAAGATTTTCTCAACCCTCAAGCAAAGAAACCAACAACATCTCAGAATTGCAAAAGCCATTCAAATAACACCCTCGGAACACTCCCCGTTCTCGGGGTCTCTAGGGCGTCATCACATGACTGTCCCCCATCCCCAGGTGCTGATGTAGTTTGACAGCAGTCCCCTCCTCTTCTCTCCCTTCTCCCCTTGTACCTCTCGCCCTGCAGATATAGAAGAAAAAGAGAGAGAGAGAGAAAAAAAAGGAAGCATTTGTCCCATCCACCTTCCTATATAACCTCAACCCTCCCCACTCTAATCAGTGGGCTGTTTGAGACTCCCTCTCAAGTATGTAAACAACATTTAAAAATAAATAAAATAAATCTATATTTTAGAAAAAGGAAAATACCAGGTTCCCACTTTCTTGCCATTGGGGCTGTTGGGGAATGAACCAGCAGGTGACAAAAAGCTTGCTCTCCCTCCCTCTCTCACTGCAACAAATAAATACATCCTTAAAAAAATATACACAGCTCAGCATGTCTGTTGACCCAGCAATGCCTACTATTCCTCCAGCCCTGCTCTGCAGTGTCTCCCAGGCCTCCTGTCTCCGGTCTCAGGGCACCCCAGGGTGGGGTTTACAGAAGGCAGGCAGATGCATGCCCGCTGCGCTGCAGGCTGAAAGTTGGCCCAAGGTTGAGTGGCCACACTGGGTGGAGGTGGAAAGCAGGGCGCTGACCATCCAGCTGCCCCTGTGTCAGCCACCTGGGGCGTCAGCTGGAGCTGCAGGCCACCCCCTCCTGACAGCTGCCTCTCCAGCCAGGACCAGGGAAGGCGGGACCTGTTTAGTTGGGGCTCCTGACCTCTGCCACTCTGTCCCTGTCCCCAGAGGACACCAGTGGCTCCCCAGCGCGGTCCATGAGGACCATGGCTGGGCTGTGTCTACTTATGTGTGTCCACGACTGCCCCTTCAGCTATCGGGGTGATTGTCGCGTACCCCTGTGTCCCCTTGTATCATAGTGACCTAGTGTCACTAGATCTTTGTACCTCCACCTCTGTTGGTATGCTAGGAGCTCTCAGCACCTCTGTCTGATCTGAAGACAAGGAAAAGCTCTCCCCCCAGTTCCTGGGCCACAGGTGCCTCCCTACTAAGCTGGGGAATGAAGCTGGTTTGGACAGCCGATCACCCTGCACTCCACTCCCAGGAGAGAGCCGGCTGTCTCAGCAGACACTTCATTTAAGGCCTTAAGGCAGGCAGGTGCCCAGCCTCACACCAAGTGGCTTCCACAGGGCGGATCCGGCAGCTGGTGACCTCAGCACCAGGCACCTTTGGCCAAGAAGGACGAAGGGAACCTGGTAGTTAGTGTCCATGGGCCTAGTGGCAGGGGAGGGACAGATGCCACAGGCCCTAAATGGTTAATTTTCACGCTCCCCGTTGGAGGGGGAGGGACGTAGACACCCCGCTGGGGGAGGGGGGCGGAGGTGCCGGGGACCCTTAGCAGCTCCCCGCGGCTCCGCCCCAGCCTTACCCAGGTTGGACCACCACCCCACCCACCGGCGAGCAGAGGGGGCGCCCGCGGCGAGGGGTGTGGATGCGCCCAGGACCCGCTCCCGACAGAGGGGACCCCTCTCTCCCACTGGACGGTCCTACCTCGCGGCCTGGGCGGCGCCCTCCCCGGTGCGCCCCGGCTCCGGGCTGGCCATGGCTGTGCGACCCCGGGGCTGCGCGGCCGCGTTATTAATAGCGGCCCGGTGGCGCTCGCCCGGCGCGCCCTCGTCCGCCGCACTGCCAGCTGCAGCCGACACCGGATCCCGCCGGCCCCGGGCCGGGCGCGCCCACTTGGCCAGGGCTCCTGGCCGCAGGGGAGTGTGGGGGTGAGGGGAAGGCGGCCCTAGGGGCGGGAAGAGGCTGCCCCTCCTCTCCTCTCCCCTCCTCACCCAGGAGGGATGGAGGATAGGGGGCGGTGAACCACATCTCGGAGACGCGCCCAGGCCGGAGATCTCCCGTACCTCGCTCCTCTCCCTTCCCTCGGGTCCGGGGACCCTTAGAGCATCTCCAGCCCTGGGGGACAGGACTTCAGGAAGGGGGTCTCCAGGGACCCGCCTTCCCGCAGGCGACTGGCTAGGTGGGCGCCCTCGGACCCCGGCCGGTGCAGGGGGGTTGGCGCACGGCCACACTGCCGACTCCCAGAAGAGCGCTGTGCCCGGCAGCTGTCGCGGAGGGGAGGGGCTGGACGCAGGCGGCCTTGGGAGGGCGGGGCTGGGGGGGAGGCATAGAGGCCACCCCTCGTGTCCCTGGAGACAAATCTGGGGTCCCCTGGTGGGGCGGGGTTCAGAAAAGATGATGAGAGGCCCACTGAGGGCGTTAGACATGTAAACTTGAGCCTTGCTTCCCGCTGTCTTCCCTGGGGACTCTCGTTGGGGGTCCACCTGTTACCCCTACCCTGCTGAGGTTCTCTCAGCTTCCAGACAGAACTCCATTCCCAGGTTCTTGGCCCGCCTTCTGCCAGATCAAATCAGTCTTCCCCTAACCTGATTTATTTTCTCCACTTGGTGCTGTGCGTCCAGGGTGGCCTTTTATTCTGTGTGGAAGAACGCTGCGACTGGATCCGACTGTTTGATCCAGGAGGCCTGGCAGGTGGGCTGGGAGCAGGGCTGTGGGATGTAGGTGGGCTTGTGTGATCCGGGTCCCAGGAACATGGTTTTGAGTCTGGTGGGTAGAGGGGGTTGTATGCCCATGTGAGACTCTGGCTGGCAGGGGATGGGCTGTGTGGCTGGGGGGGTCTCAGGGTGGCCCCTGTTGTGCGGTGGAAGCTGGGGACTACAGTGACTGGCCCACAGACCTGTGTGTGATGAGAGTGGGTACCCCACGGGCGGGGGTGGGATGGGGCGATGGGAGCTGCAGGGAACTGGGTGGTGCTCCCAAGCAGCTGTGTGTGGTGTCCTCTGCGTGTGGCTGGGGCCTGTGCCCGGTTTCATTCATCAGCCTGTGCGTGTGGCTATGTATTTTCAGCTCTCAGAAGGGAGTGGGAGACTAACACCCCCGGGACTCAGTACGCCCTTGTAAGGTAGGCACAAGAAAACCTCGGGTTTCTGAGGCTGTTGGTCATTTTCTGACTTAGCCCCCAAAATATTCTCCCTCCCCCTCACCCCAGAGGAGGTTGGCAGCGCCTCAGCTGCTGGTCCTCTGACAGCTGCTGCCAGTACAAGAAGCCCGGAGGGAGGGAGGGAGGGAGGAAGGGAGGGAGCAGGGCCCGCCTGCCTGCAGCACTGTTTGCTGTGGGTGCCAGGCAACGGGGCAGCAAGGACAGCACTGGGAAGGGTCAGCCTGACCGTGCCCCCCAGCACAGCCCCGGAGCTGACCCTGGGCAGTTCCCCAAGACCATGGGCAGCCCCAGCTCCTGACTGCTCCCTCCTAACCACCCCACCCCAGCAAGCTCTGACTCTGAGTTCTAGACCTCAGTTCCCAAGCCCAGATGCTCCTACGCCTCTAGGCTTCTGTTCCTGCTGTTGGCTGAGCCTGGATCACCCAGCTCAGCTCATCCTGTCCCTGCTTCTCTCCTTTTCCCTTCAGTTCTCAGCCAGCTTCATTGGCTCAGCAGGTCCCTGCCCCGGATGTCTGCTTTTCCTTTCTTGGATTTTTTTAATATTGATTTATTTTAATTTGAAAGGCAGAGTTTTAGATAGATAGATAGAGGCCTTCCATCCACTGGTTCATTTCCCCAGTGGAGCTAAGCTGGTCTGAAGCCAGGAGCCAGAAGCTTGTTCCAAGTCCCCCATGCGGGTGCAATGGCCCAAGCACTTGGGTCATGATCTGCTGCTTTTCCAGGCAATTAGCAGGGAACTGGATTGGAAACAGAGCAACATATGGGTATGAACCCATATGGATCCTAGCACCACAGGCCAAGGCTTAGCCTGCTATGCTATGATGCCAAGCCCCACCTTTTTTAAAGAAGTATTTATTTATTCAAAAGACAGAGTGCCTGAGGTCCAGCATCATAGTGCAGCAGTTTAAGCCACTGTCTATGATGCTAGCATCCCCTGTAAGCACAGATTTGAGTCCCAGATGCTCCACTGCAGATCCAGCCCCCTGTGAGAGTGCCTGGAAGGCAGCAGAAGATGGCCCAAGTGCCTGCACCCCTGCCACCCACACCACTCTGCCTTCAAATAAATCAATATATATTCCTCCTTTTAAAGATTTATTTATTTTTACTGGAAAGATTTCTAGAGAGAAGAAGAGACAGAGAGGAAGATCTTCTGTCTGTTGGTTCACTCCCCAAGTAGAAGCAACGGCCGGAATTGAACCAACCTGTAGCCAGGAGCAAGGAGCTTCTTCCAGGTCTCTCATGCAGCTGCAGGCTCCCAAGGTCTTGAGCCATCCTTTACTGTTTTCAGGCCATAAGCAGTGAGCTGAATGGGAAGTAGAGCAGACAGGACATGAATCAGTGCCCACATGGGCTTCCAGCCCTTGCAAGGCCAGGACTTAGCTTCTGGGCCATCACACCAGACCCTAACATATATTTCTTTACGGCAGAGTTACAAAGAGAGATAGGGTGAGAGATTGTCTCTCCACTGGATCGTCCTCCTAGTGGCCCCAACAGCTGGGGCTGGGCCAGGCCGAAGCAAGGTCTCTCATGTGGATGGCAGTGTCCAAGTCCCTGGGCCATCCTCTAAGCGCATAAGCAGGAAGCTAGATCAGAAGCAGGCAGTATCGCAGACTCCAATGGGCATTCTACTGGGGGATGACAGTATCTCAAGCGGTGGCTTAGCCCGCTGTGCCACAGGCCTGTATTACCTATTTTGCCCCCTCAATCGTGTATTCTCTGTACAGCAATGTTTGGCCACAATATTGTTTTGTTTTGTTTCAATTCCTTCCTCCTCTGCTTTCCCCACCAGAATAGGGAACCCTTCCAGAGAAAGGGATTTTGTGTGTTTAATTCATTGCAGGGTCCCTAGAGGCTGGCAGGGACTAGCATGTGGGGCAAATCATTGCATGAATGAATTAAGGAAGGAAAGAAGAATGGTCCTACCCCAACTCACCCAGGCCAGCTCAGGCAACAGTAGATGCCCTCTGAGCACAGGACCAGCAGGGCTACCCACCACCAGGCAGTCCAGTTGGCTCAGGGAAGCCGACCTCTGCCTGGGCCCCAATGACATCTTCCAGGCAGGGTGAGCTAAGCAAGGGCCAGGACTCAGATCATTTGGCAAGTCCCCGCTGGGTCAGTGCCAGGCCTTTGTCAGAGCAAATGGCCTTATTTGGCCCAGGCCCACAAGAAACTCATGGTGCAGAGGAGGCTAGAAGCGTCTCCCGGGGAGAGAGCTGAAGTAGAATATGATGCCATCCCCCCACCAGGCTGAGTGGTGCGATGAGCACGGCGAAGCAGCAGCGAGGGAGAGCTTAGCTCCGGCCTTGAGGCAGCCGAGGCTGGGGGAGGGGGGACTGAGCAGCCTGTGCCGCATGGATGAGAAAGGCACAGGCTGCTCCATCAAGGCCAAGGACAGCCAGGCTGTCAGCCTCCCCACCAAGCCAGGCGGCGAAGCGCAGCCTCTCTGGTCTGTGGGTCCCTGCTCTGCCAGGCATGCTGGCGCTCACATCTTCTGTTGCATCCATCTGGGGAATGAGACAGTGGGTGTCTCTCCTCTCTGTACATTTGCCTTTGCAATAAAATTAATAAAATAAAAATAAATAAATAAATAAATAAATAAAAAGAATGCCCGGCATGGTAGCCTAGTGGTTAAAGTCCTCGTCTTGCATGCTCCGGGATCCCATATGGCCACCAGTTCTAATCCCACAACTCCCCTACCAAACCTGCACCCAGTCCCAATCTTACACCTGCCGAGGAATACTGTGGTCGAGCCTGGCATGACTTGCACCCAGATTTTTGCAGAGAGAGACTGAGATCTCCTATGTGCTGGTTGATTCCCCAAATGGCCGCAAAAGTCAGAGGGGAGTTGATCTAAAGCCGGGAGCCAGGAGCTTCTGGGTCTCCCCCTGGTGCAGGGGGCTTGGGCCATCTTCCACTGCCTTCTCGGGCCACAAGCAGAGCTAGATTCGGAGGGGAGCAGCTGGAACGTGAGCTAGTGTTCCTAAGGGCCGGCAGCCGGACTCACGTGTACTCTCTTCAGTCAACTTGGCTACTCAGCAAGCATTCTCTCTCTCTGATCTGAGGGTTCTTCTTATTTTTTTTTTTAAAAGATACATTTATTCTTATTGGAAAGGTAGATTTACAGAGAGGACAAACGGAAAGATCATCCATCTACTGGTTCACTCTCCAAGTTGCCACAAAGGCTGGAGCTGAGCTGATCTGAAGCCAGGAGCCTCTTCAACCAGCACATAGGCGATCTGGGAACTGGGCAAACGTGGTCTGTCATGCAGGTGCAGGGTCCCAAGGCTTTGGGCCATCCTCGACTGCTTTCCCAAGCCACAAGCAGGGAGCTGGATGGGAAGTGGAGCAGCTGGCACTCGGAACTGGCACCTATATGAGATCCCAGTGTGTAAAAGGCAAGAGGATTTAGCCACTGAGCCATTGCTCTGGGTCCTTTCTTTTCTTTTTAAAATTACTTTATTTGAAAGACAGAGCTACAGAAAGAGGAATAGAGACAGAAAGAGCAGGGTCTTCCATCTGCAGGGCCAAACCCCAAAAGGCCACAACAACCAAGACTGGGCCAGCTGAAGCCAGGAGCTTCTGCTTAGTCTTCTATGT